CAAGCATACTCAACCCTTTGGTCTTTTCTTTGGTAGACAACAATCCCCTCGGTTTCAATGTTTTACTGATAGTGATTGGGGCGGATGTCCTGATGATCACCGCTCTACCAATGGGTTTGCTATCTATTATGGTAACTCTCTCATTTCCTGGATGTCTAAAAAGCAGCCTACCATAGCTCGTTCGTCCACTAAAAGTGAGTATAAGGCAATTGCTAATACTACTTCAGAATTGTTGTGGCTTAATTCTCTTCTCAAAGAGTTAGGAGTCAGTTGTGCTCAAAATGCTCTTCTATGGTGTGATAATATTGGTGCAGTGTATTTAACCGCGAATCCTGTGTTTCATGCTCGTACGAAACACATTGAATTGGATTATCACTTTGTTCGTGAGAAGGTAGCTAATAATACTGTGCAAGTCCGTTTCATTTCATCAGCTGATCAAATTGCGGATATTCTCACCAAGCCAATGTCCATCACACGCTTCAAATTTCTGTGAGACAAGCTTCGCCTTTGTCAGTTACAACCATCGGCTTGTGGGGGGGGGGGTGTCAGTAGATAAGGATAAGCAATAGCTGTTTATAACTAATGTTTAAATATTTAAGTATGTATTTATCTTTGTATAGAAGAGTTATCTCTGTAACAAACTTTCCCTATATATGGGAGCTGTTGTATTACGACAAAATCAATACAATTAGTTCTCTTTATAATCAATAACTATGGACCCTGTGTACGGTCTTGTGGACTAACCTGACACTATATCCGGAGTAGGTGGACCAGTGTGTACGGGCTTGTTGACTAACCCGACAATATATCCAGAGTTTGTGGACTAGTGTGTACGAGTTCGTTGACTGACCCGACAGTATATCCAGAGTTATGAACTGACCCAACAGTATATATGGTGAATTATGTTGTGTTATGCAACCCCAATGGGTTAAATACCCCATTGGGCTTGAGGGAGGGTGTCGGGACAAAAATCCCACATCGGTATCGTGAACGATTGGTCACTTGTTTATAAGTGTCAAAGTTCATCCTACTCATTATCAATTGGTTTTGAGATGTGAGTCCAAGGTGACTTTGACATGTGTGTGACAAGGGAGGTGATAAATTGAGAACAGGTTTTTTAGATTGAGATCAAAATTTTACCAACTGCCTAAATTACCCTTAGAATTATAAAAGTCTCATCCTATTTATTTTCTCTGAATTTTCTCTTTTCTTTGATCTGGTCATCATTTGTAACAATGTTGATCTTTATTTGGCTAATATGATTTCACTATCAAATTAGAAAATCCAATGCATCTTCAAAAAATAGTTTCACAAAATTTCTTGAAAACTACTTCATTAAGCAAAACTTCCAAGAAAAGAATCAGAACGGAAAACTACTTTATCAAGTTCAATTTAGTCACAACCTTCACAAAACAAACCTTCCAACCACTCCTTTGACCTGAGCCCAGATCAAAATCTTTTCCATCCACCGGTTTCATTCAAAGTTACCACCTCCTCCACCCCTTGCAATTATCCTTACAATTAATTTCAATTTTACATGGCTAGTATTTAAAACAAATCATTGTATGAATCTAACACTTATTATACGAGAGAATTACCCATTAAACTCACTTCAATCCTTCAGTACGGGGCACCATGAACTGAACCCAAAAATAGAAATTGATTGTAATGAAAAACATTGATATGAAGAAATTTAAAACATATTTGGTTTTAGACCAAACAAGCAATTGAGAGGCTGCAGATCAATTATGATGCCAAGCGAAAGAACTGCGCGCCCCCATCTTCGTTTGTGAAGAAGAACAGCTGAGAAATGAAACAAAGAAAATGTGGTAAAAAAATTAATAATTCTAATAAAATTTTAGAAGATAATATAGAAAATTAATAAAATTTTGCTTTCAATATAACAAATTTGCTCTCAATTTATCAATTTTCGTGTGACAAATGTGAGTGAACTAAACAGAATTCATGTTTTGGACATATAGGCTCTGAAGAATAATAATGAGGCGACAAGAAGAAGAGACTGGATGAAGGCTTCTAGTAGTGTATAATATAGAAGGGGGAAAGGAAAGTAGAAATCTGAATGTATTGTCATCGCCTTTTTTTTTGTGTTTTTAATCAAACTAACCTAAAATGTATATGTATATTGTGAAAAATAGAGTACAATACAAAAGAAAATGAACCTATCCACTTATTGCATGACTATCCAATGTTGTGCGAAATAATCAACATTCGGAAACAAAACAAAAGATCACTTTTTTCTTAATTTTCCTTTATTAGATACCGATGAAGCAAATTGCCTGGTGGTTACAAATGATCGATCACCCTTAATATGCATGATTCTACATCTATACTTATCACTTAGTAGAGCTTTCAAATTCCAATTAAACTATGGTTACTATGTTACATTCTAATTGCACATTCCAACCCCAAGTTAATTTCTACCTCCCTAAGTAATAAGAGTCCATAGTCTGAGGTGTCTTTCTTATTTATCATTCAGTATTCTCATAATGTTACCAATAACTAATTCAGTATTCCCTAAGTAACATGACAATCCAGTCAAGAGGCGCACTCTAGTACTTGCTAGTAGTAATAGTTAATGATGCCATTAACTTTTCTTGTCACTCACATTGTAATAGTTTAGATACCTTCTAAACATTTATTAGTGTAAGGTCTCAAAGAGTGGAAAAAAACTAACCGAGTTGACAATTGTTCTATCCATCACTTCTAGCCCACCGTAGAAATCATGCTACACTGTCTATATACATCTACCATTATTTATTACTCTTTTCGTCGTAAAATAATTGATGTCATATTTATTATATCATAAACTGAGTTTCAAAATGATCATTTAACATGAAGAACGAAAAATAGAACCATAATTTTGAGACCAAAAAAAATAATTAAGTTAATTAATTTTTCAAACTTGAACCGTAATTGACAGTGCCATATATATTTTGACATTGTCACCATAGAAAAAATGTTGTTACTACCTAAAGTTTTGCCCTCGTCGTCAATCATACCCAATAGATTTTCGGTTAGTCAACTTTACCCTAATGTTTGAAATTTTCGCCAATTTCGTCCAATCGGCCCATTTTCCGTCCAAATTAACGGATCTCCGTTAGTTTTTTAATAAAATAATAAATTTAATTATAAAAATACCCAGTAATTTTTAAAAATTTTAAAAATAACCCCTAACATATATAAAAATAACAAAACAGTCCCTTTTCACTTTTTTATTTTAATAATCTCTATTTTGTTCCATTTCTCTCAACTACTTTTAATGACCATAAAAGTCTATTATATGAGTTTTAAAAAAATATTTATTTATTTTCAAACTCTACCGTAAAAATGAATCTTTGTGTAGTTGTAACCCATGATTGTATTTATATAAGCATGTTAATTTTTTTAATAATATATTTTAGCAATAAAGACACTATTTTTCTGATTTATTTTATTCTTCCTAACATAAAGATTAAAAATATTTAAATGAAACTAATATTCCACATAAAAATAAAATATTAGCTCAAATAAAAAAATATTAATATATTTTAGTTTATTACAATTTAACTCAAGAGACTATAACTTGCATTAATATAATTCTTAAAAAAATAAATAAAATATAAAATAATTAAGACACTATTTTTCTGATTTATTTTATTCTTCCTAACATAAAGATTAAAAATATTTAAATGAAACTAATATTCCACATAAAAATAAAATATTAGCTTAAATAAAAAAAATATTAATATATTTTAGTGTATTACAATTTAACTCAAGAGACTATCACTTGCATTAATATAATTCATAAAAAAAATAACTAAAATATAAAATAATTAAAACCTTAAAAAAAAATCCTCCAAACATAAGTTTTCCTTCTTGAATCTAGAACCTAGTTTTTATCACAACAACTTATTACCATATTGTTACCTCCATTCATTTATTTTAAACTAAAATCATATAGAATAAACTAATAAGACTTCCTCTATAGTTAGATATATTAACATCTCAAGTAATTATTACAAAATATTAAATCCTCGCATTGATAAGTATAAACATATTTTTTTATAAATTATATTATGCCATGTGGTCTCTCTAGTTAAATTGTAATACACTAAACTATACTAATATATTATTTTTTATTTGAGCTAATATTTTATTTTTATGTGGAATATTAGTTTTATTTAAATGTTTTTAATCTTTATGTTATGAAGAATTAAATAAATCAGAAAAATAGTGTTTTTATTGCTAAAATTATATTATTAAAAAAGTTAACATGCTTATATAAAAACAATCATGTGTTACAACTATACAAAGATTAACTTTTACGGTAGAATTTGAAAATAAATAAATATTTTTTAAACTCATATAATATACTTTTATGGTCATTAAAAGTAGTTGAGAGAAATGGAACAAAATAGAAAAAATGAAATAAAAAAGTGAAAAGAGACTATTTTGTTATTTTTATATATTTTAGGGGTTATTTTAAAATTTGTACAAACTATTGGGGTATTTTTGTATTTAAATTTATTATTTTATTAAAAAACTAACGGAGATCCGTTAATTTGGACGGAAAATGGGCCAATTAGACGAAATTGGCGAAAATTTCAAACATTAGGATAAAGTTGGCTAACCGAAAATCTATTGGGTATGATTGATGACGAGAGAAAAGGTTTGGGTAGGAACGACATTTTTTCCTTGTCATCATAAAATAAAATTAAAAAAACTGTAGAACTAAGTAATCTCTATAACTAGGGTTTTGGTGATTTGGTTGTTGATCTGATTTTCATTTTTGTTTTACAAATAAAAGATTAAATTACAAAAAAAAAGGAGAAAAAACCAAAATGGCTCTAAAATAGGCTTGTTTGGCATAGTTAGCAAGATGAGAAATGTGAAGATGAAAAAGGAAAATGAACGCCAACCATACACTTCACATACATTCGCAGTTTCTTTGTCACTAAATTGCCAACCCATCACATGATAATTCTACCAAATTTTTTTTTATTTTATTTTTCTTTTTGGTACGAATCTTCATTCCACTTTTGTTGTTCACAGACCAAAAAAGTAAAAATCGAAAAAGAACCCCAACAATGAACTCCAATGGCATCCACATAAACACAAACACACACACAGTCACACACAACTATCAACATTAGAACACCAACCAGAGGGCCCCACGTACCCCCCCCCCCTCTCCACCTTCCCCACTCCCAGTCTGGAGGGGAAAAAAATTCTTTCCTATTTTTCCCAGTTACTTCCAATTTCCCATTCATACCAAATCTAATAGTACATTTCATTTATATGATTCACTCATAATTCATTGCTCAACAAACAGTTGGAGATTCCCACACAAAAGCTAAAAATAAAACGCCCCATTTCGTAGAAACACGACGTTGATTTGATTGCACCCCACGTTTTCTTCACGGGTTTGTGCTGGGTTAGAGAGATAGTCCATTTTCCCAAAACCATTGGCAATAATAGCAATCTCCTACCTTTCTCCATTTTTTGTTTTTTCTTTTGTTGTTTTTTTTGAGCTTCTGAGGTTATAGATTTTCCCAATTTCTGAGGCCCTGAATCGCCCAATTGCTGTTTATTCTACATTTCATCGTATCAGTTTCGTCGAACTGCACAATCTGATGCAATTCTGTTGATCTTTTTGTGCAATGTGCTAAAGGGTTGCATCATCTCGCAGTATCCTGTAAGACTTCCATTTCTCTGTCCCTTTATTTTTTTACTTGTAGGAATCCTGATCTAGTGTGTATTCTGCTTTTTGGCAATGGTTGGGTTTGTTGCTTTGGATCTTACAGGCATTTTGCAAGATTTGATTTTCATGATCATTTTTGTTTGGTGGTTATTGGCATTTTGTGACATAAAATAGTGTAAAGTGTAATCTGGGGTGTGTTTTAGTGTTAATGTTTGGACAATGTGTTACTGGGTGTACTCTGTATGGCATTGCTGTAGAACCACTCTGTGAATTGCTGCCATTTGATAAAAGAAAGAACTTGAATGATCATCCTACTCTAATGCAGAATTTTCCCGTTTCTCTGAGCCTTTAGTTTTATAGTTTCTCTAAATGTGTTTATTCAAAATGCTAGTGCCTATATGTTTACAAGTAGAAGTGGTGGTTGTTAGCGTTTCAGTTGGTGGTTGTGATTTACGACCATGAATGATTTACATAGAATACTAGAGGAGATTTCTGTAGCGTCACTAGAATTTTGTAGCGATTCTGATGTATTTCCAGAGGCTGTTACCAGCCCTTATCTAGGACAGAGTGCTTCTGTTCTCCCTGCAACTCAGCTAAGATTAAACTCTACAAGTATCAGGAATAGCTAAAACAGATTCTGTAAACAAATTGAAGAACAAGATACTGGGCTGCTCTAGGAGTCTAGCCTGTGTATAAGCAATAAATATTCATATATTACCCTTACTCAAGGGCAATTATCTGGCTGTTTGTTATGTTCTGACGTGAATCAAAACTTTTTTGTTACGACATTGTGAAGTGTTCAACAGAAGTTATGAAGTATACGATCACTAATCGGTGGATGTGCATCGCACACCCTGTTTCCCAACCTCAGTTAATGCCTAAGCTTGTTTTGTTGATTTCCACTCAGGTTTTTACGCTTTCTGTTTGAGATTTTACACTTGAGAAGCAGCTTACTAGATAGTTTTGTGGATGCCTTAAGCTTTTACGTTATTACATTATGATGCTATTGCTTTCTTTGTATCCTTTGTATCTTCTTCTTTTCCCCTTTCTTTTCTTTTTCTTCATTTAGAAAGAGGAATGATTATTGCATGCTATGATCATACATTTCTATCTCCAGTTTCCTTCATTTAGCCGTAATCCGTTACAGCCACCTTCAACTTACTTGTTGCCCAACTTATAGGTTCTGTTAACCAGCACTAGAAGAATAATAATTTTATTCGTGGCATTGAATGACGTTTTAAAAAGCTTTGGGTTCTATCTTGTCTGTCGGTATCAGTTTAAGATTATACTGCGATTTTTTATTTGTCATAATCGTTTAAGATTACTGTTTCTTTAACTACCAATATCTAGTTACTTCTTTTAGATTTATATCAGAAAAAGTAAATACTTCCTGTTAGTAATATGTGTTAACTTATTGTGCAGATTCAATTGAACAGGAAAGACTTTATGTGAGTAATATTTGTTAATTCATGTGGGCAACAATTTCTGGTTGTTGAATTCATGTGATCGACAAGCATATTCTACTGCAAGATCAAACAGTCTATCTTTGGTCAGTACAATGGCACTTTCAAGAAAGGCCTTGTCGATGCCAACTTATCATAATCAGGCTGAGCTGCTGTTGAAGAATTATTTATTTTCTGACCCAATAATCCCATACACTTCCGTTCTTGGTGGAGTCGTGGCTTGCAAAGTGGTAATGGATTTTTACATTTGTTTCTTTTTCTCAAATTCTCCCAGAAGTACAAATACTAAATTTTGCAATTGAGCTTATAGGCAGTAACTGGTGAACCTTCATTGTATCTCAAATTAAAATACAGTGTGAAGTTTACTTGCTAGATGAATGTAGATTTATATTTTATCTTACTCAATTTGCTTCTTAAATATTATACTTACAGTTGTCTTTCACAGCTCTATGATTTTGTTAAGTTGATCAGCACTTTCTACTTCCGAAGCTACAATGGTCTTACTAAGATTGAGCGGATGGAATGGAACAATCGGTATTACATTTGTCTTTGTTGCTTATGTAATTGTTTTGTGTGACTTTGTTTTTTTGGCTTAATTTCTCATCATCTCCTTACATCACTTTTTTTCTGCAGTGGGATCTCAACTCTTCATGCTATTTTTATTTCCATCATGTCATTGTACTTCGTATTCTGGTCTGATCTATTCTCTGATCCACGTCTTCCTGGTGTCATTACACTCCGGAGTTCGGGATTATCAACTTTTACTCTAGGAGTAAGTATCCAGACACTTTCTGTTCAGTTATTCTGGTTCCCCTTTTTGATGCTTTTAACTGCACTTTGGTTATCCTGGAAGACCTTATGATACCAACATATTTCTGAAATACATTATAGATTATGATTCTTGCTCCTGCACTTAAGATGGCCCCTGGTGGCTAGTCAAGTTTACATTTGGTGCACAAAAATAACAATGTTATGTAGCTTTTCCCTATGCAAATGAGAGTAAAAACAGTGGTTAAACCAGTTCTTCTATATCTTGGTCTCTTGCAATTAAATCAATTGGGGAATGATCTCATGACAGAATTGTCTAGAATCTGAATAGATGTTCTGTACGGAAGAATCAGACTGATATTCTGAACACTTGCATAGGTATTTTCATGTCTTATATTGTGCATGTGCATGTTACAGGAGTAAGTGGTCATTGTTGGTAGAATTGGATCTCATTTTAAAACAAAGTGGGAGCCAATAAATGTTTTGAGTAAGTGGTCAGTGTTGGTAGAATTGGATCTCATTTTAAAACAAAGTGGGAGCCAATAAATTTGTTTAAAAAGTTCTGGAAATCGTATCTAGATTGAATAATTTTTGTATCTTATTTGGGAGTCAGTCCATGTTCTCTTTCAGCTACAACTCCTCATTCCCATTCGATTGGAATATTTTAGAATGCATGTAATGCCTCACCTTTTCCTTTCATTTTGATCCTGGACAGGTCTCTGTTGGCTATTTTCTATCAGATCTTGCTATGATTTGTTGGTTGTATCCTTCTCTGGGTGGACTGGAATATGTAAGTGTTCAGATTTTATACTGAAAGTAATAAAACCTACGATGTTTGGCCATTTAGCCTCAGAAAGTTTCTGCATTGGTGATGATTTTATATCAATAGTGCTGCCTCATGTGTGTGTGTTTATGTTCTTGCATGATGTATGGAGATCAGCAATTGGTAAAATATGACTTATCTAGATACAGTTCTTTCATGAAGAAACTAACTTCTTGTAGCATCTTTTCATGTTAGGAATTTCAGAAAAAGAAAAGATAGTTGACCAAATGGAAAAAGGGTTAATTATTTGTTGAAACTACAGTGTTTTCTCTTTATGAAAAAGTTTTATTAATCAAATTTGTTTTCAATAGTTTATATCTTCAGATTGAAATGCTCATTATCTTTGCTATTACTGGAATATTTTCGTACAGATGCATCAATCTTTTTTATGTGTGATCGAAAGAGTAAATTTTTCCACTTAATATAATGACTCTCCTCGAGTTAATGTAGTCAGGGATAGAACATTTATTCTGAGAATTTTCATTTCCTCTTGACTGAATCAAATCAAAACTTTCCTTGTTACTTTCAAATATAGGAATATTTGAGAATTGATATCAAGTATTAGGAGAAAAGCATAGCTTCTCTTGTAATAGTGCAGAACTTTTGGCCCTTGGTATCTCATTCGCTACGCAGTGCTTGGACGTTAATGAATTCTGTCTCCCACTTCTTAGTTACGTTCCCTGTTTCTCTTACGTCTCTTGCTAAGTTTTCCCATAAGCTTCGATTTTAGAAACGTGAACGGATGCTTTACTGATTCATTTTCTTGTTTCACATCCCTATTGAAAGCATGATACGACTTGAGTTAAAGAGTGGCTAGTTTTGTATGTCTTTTCTGTTATGATCGTTTAAGTTTTCTCGTTCTTTAAGATTTGAAAATAGCAAAAAAGTTTTAGAAAAGGTGACAAGGGAAAATCAAGAACCTGTGTCCGCGGATGGGATTATGTGTTTTAAATTAGATAAAAAATTATGCTGATACATGATTAATTGCAATCCTTGAATGAACCATTGTTTGCTATTTTCTTTTGGGATTTCAGATTGTTCATCATAGTCTTTCGGGAATTGCAGTAGCATATTCTGTTTTTACTGGTGAGGGACAGCTTTATACATTCATGGTCCTCATATCGGAGTTGACTACCCCAGAGATCAACATGAGATGGTAAGTTTCTTAATAGAATTATTGGACTATGAGAATTATGTCATGCCTTTTCATGTTCAGGCTTGATGTCTATATAATTTTCCTGTTTGCTTGCAGGTATCTGGATATATCTGGATTGAAGAAGTCCAATGCTTATCTTATTAATGGTGTTGTAATATTTTTTGGCTGGCTGGTAAGTTATAATTGGTAATGTGTTATTGTGTGAATGATCCAAGGGTGACCTCTTTGTGAAATCTACACAGAATAAAAACTCATTATACTGCAATTAGTGTGAGATTATGAGTTTTCATACACAGAATAAAACTCAATATAAAATTTAGTGTGAGATTGTGAGGATATGAAATTGGAGAGTTTCTGACATTAGTACTATAACACCCTATAATTATTGTGCCGATATGTTGGACCACATTTTATGTAACAAAGTAAACCTTTTTATGAAAATCTTATAGTGGATTTATTTGTTGCTTCCTAAATGATTCACCTTTCCACTTTATCTTTGGAGTTTATCTTTTGAAGTAATGTTTATTGTTCTAGCACCTAACAAAGTCACTTTCTTGAAATGCAGGTTGCAAGGATCTTGTTGTTTGGCTACATGTTTCACCATGTTTATATACACTATGGACAGGTAACAAGGTTCAAACATTTTTAAGACCCCATGACATCAGCATGTTTTTTCATTATTACATGATCACAAGTGTTGCGAGGAAAAGGTGACGAGCCTCTTTTGTTAAACACTAGATATATTGTATTGCTGCCTTGGATAGTCTCTTTTACACTTGGACCAATAGCTGCTATGCAACTATCTACTGATTGTTCCTTTAAGTTATGTTAAAGCATGTAGTATTGGGTCTCTCATCAATGCTTTTGTAACGTACTGCAGATTGCATATTTTTGCTCTTAGATCTTATATCTTTTCTTTTCCTGGGTTCTCACAACACGAATGTGTTTTAGATATGTCATAGCTGGTGCATTCTTTTAGTCATTGTCATGCTAGATGAAAGGAATGCTTTGTGATTCTGTTCAAAAGTTTAATGCATGTGTTCTTTCAACTATTACTTGAACCTATTAGGTGTTTCTAGCTCTGCATATTTCTCTGCCTTTGCTAGACACTTGTTATTGTTGGTTTCATGTGCATCGTATTCATCTCGTGAAGCTTCATGGATGTGCAGATGAAAGAATTCATAATTATAAATATTGTTGTGAATCACCTACAGGTCCTCCAGATGCACATATTTGGATATTTCCTAGTGTTTGTAGTGCCCCTAGTTCTTGGGATCATGAACTTGATTTGGTTTGGCAAAATATTTAAGGGGGTCATGAAGATGTTGAGAAAGAAGCAATGAAGGAATCTTACAGTCTTGACTTCTTCCCTGATCATACCATCTTCTCTCCTGTGTAAGTTGTAACTTCCACTTTGTACAAGTCAATAGGATCATTAGAGGCAAAGCGAAATCGAGGAAGTTAAGTGCCAGTAGGGCGCTTTTAGCGTTTTGTGCAGATATGGGCTGGCGTGATTGTAAATTTTGTCATGAACCAGAGAGGAAGTTGTGGAATATGTCACTGTAGTAGAAGCGGATAACAGCCATCTTGTAAACAAAGCTGTTACTGGCTTTAATACACTTAAAAATGTATTTTATGAGAAAGAAATGTTTTTTTTTAACCGCTCAGGGAGCTGGCTTTTCACTGTAGTACCCTCAAAAGAAAAAGAGAGAAAAAGGTTAAAAGCCATCTTGTAATGAATGACAGGGCGTTTTTCATTTCATATCTCTATATTAAGGGAGAATTTTCAATCGGACGCATGACGCAAAATTAGATGATTAATTCACGTGACAAAAAATTAGATATGTAAGTCCACATGTTATAATCACATCATTCCATCAATTAATGGTAATTTTTAATGTAAATTATAAATTTATATGTAAAAATAAATTAATTGGGATATCTCTCTATAATAATAATTCATAACTAACTGGTAATATATTTTTTTACGGAGGTCAACAAAAGACTTCTCAAAAACATAATTCATTTTACATATGGGGAAAATTTTTTATGAGAAATATATTAAGAATTGATTTTTTTTTCAGTTTTTTTTTATATTCTTTAATTATCAAAAACAAACGAAAAACCTTTATTATTGTAGCATCTTCAATGTTCCACCTGATATTCCACATAGCTCAAAAATTTCTACATTTTTTATTCGTGGATTATGAATACTTCGTATCTTTTCTTTTTAAAAAAAATCAATTCACTAAAAAATGTAAAATTATGAACTATGAAAAACAACTTCCTCAATACTAAAACCAGTTTTAGCAGAGAAAAAAAGAACACTTTAATAAAAAGTAAATTATTTCATGGGTACGTAGTCTTAGAAAATAATGTGTTAAAGTGTAATATTAATCAGGTTTTTCTTTCTCATTGGTTAGTGTTTTTTTTTTCTTTTTCATTGGTTAGTATATTTATTTTTATTTCAGTTGGTGGTGCTTTAATTGTAAAATTTTTAATGATAAGATATTTTTAACGTGCAATACTAATAAATGATTAATAATCATTACGTTGTGTAAAAATTATAAAATAAAAAAAGTAAAATAATAATAATACTAAGAATATAATTATATATTAATCAACCAAAGTTTTAATAATATAATCATATATTATATCATATATATTATAAAAAATTATGAAAAATATAATAACTGATTACTGATAATTTATATATTCTTTTATTTTTTTTCCATATGATATAATGGTAGAAAAGTCAACGTTATGATGATAAAACAAAACGTAAAGAGTAATAGAGAGAAAGTTATAACATAAGAAAAAGAATAAAAGATTTTGTGAGATACAAACAGTAGAAGAAAAACATATTGTGAAATTAAAAATAATTATATGGTGGAAAAAATTATTTAGAGAATAAAAAAACTGAAAAAAGAAACCTAGATAATAGTGAAAAGTTATTATAATTTTTTCAAGAAATGAAGCTTTGAAGAGGGGTCATCAAATAGGAAAAAAAAAAGGTGACGACTATGCAACAAAAAAAAGAAAAAAAATGAAGTAAACACTATATTATAGGAAAAGTTACGAACAAACTTCCAAAGAAAGGTTGCAAAAGGTATCTAGAGAGATAAAAAAAAAAATAAAGATAAGTTTATAGAAAGAAATAATTAGAAATATTAAAGAGAGAGCTTAAAAGATATGACATTGGTAGAAATATCAAGAGAGATTCTTATAAAAAATTTATGATAATACTTTTAAAAATATAAAGTCATAAATCAACAAAATTCAAAAAAAAAAAAGAAAAAAATGAAATAATAAACCCTATATTATAAGAAAAGATTACGAACAAATTTGAAAAAAAGGTTGCAAAAAGTATATAAAGAGATCAAAAAAAATAAAGATAAGTTTATGTAAATAAATAATGAGAAATACTAGAGGGAGAGTTTAAAAGATATGACATTAATAGAAATATCTAGAGAGATTCTTATAAAAATAATTTAAGATAATACTTTTTAAAAATATAAAGCTATAAATCAACAAAATGAAAAAGATGGACAACAAGTTACACTATATGATTTAAAATCTTGAAAATTATTCCAAATATACTTAAAATAACAAAACACATTGATATTAAAATTTAAACAATAATTTATATCATTAATATTATTTTTTTAATCATATATCAATCCGTAAAAAATGTCATATAATAATTAAATCATTAGACTCATATATATATATATATATATATATCTTAAATTGATGTAATTTTTTTTCCTGTACGAGAAGGTGTAAAAAAATTTTTGCAAGGGTAAAATTATTATTTTTCGAAAATTTGTACTAAAATTTTCAAAAGACTCTTATTAATTTTTTTTAAGTGAAGGGGAGCGACTGTCCCACTGGTCTTCATCCTTTTGCCATTAACCCGCACAATGTGCGGGATAAACACTAATTATTATAAAAGAACAGTTTCATGATAGTCAATTTGGGAAAGTGTTTCATTTCGAATGGGAAAATAGCTCCTTTACTGAACTTCTTTAAAAACACTAACCAAGGGTATAAATGGATGTCAAATTCCATATCTTTGCAACATAATTGACAATTATAATATAGGGATCCTAGGTACACCTAGCAAGGTGTAGGGTGAAACTCACGCGACCAAAAAAAGGAGAAATCCCAATATTTACAACAATACCATCCGAGTGTTTACACGCGCCCATTAATACCCCCCATTATGTGCGAATTTTTTATTTTTAAATTTTGATAACCACCATTATCTCCTAATTTTCAGCCATTATTGATTATCTAACATTCCATTCGATCTATTCCATTACTCCCCAAATCAAAAAAAAAAAAATCGAAACCCCAAAAAATCAATCTTGCGGCGATACAATCAGAGAAGCTACTGTCGGCGGGACTTACAAAGTCTGAATCGAATCATTCATAAAAAACGGTAATTCTGATTACAAGTTACATTACTGAAGATGAGGATTAAGGTGTATTCTGGTCAAATTCATCGATTTTTCTATTTTTATCCATTGTTGTTTGATTCTGGTTTGATGAATGTTGTTTTTTGTTAAAATAGTCATGTAGATGCCTATGGCTGAGGATTCCGAATCGAGTATGAGCAAATCGGAGGATGAAGGGGAAACGAGGTAATACAACTACTCTCTTCAATCATTGGTGTGGTTTTTTTGTTTGAGTTATGTAGATCTAATGTATGTTCACTCAATTAACGATGTTTGTTCATCAATTTTAGAGATATATTCTTCGATTTGCTTTTCTTTTTTTTTTGGTAAATTAGAAGATCTGAGAATTATTCATCAGTTTGGTATAATTAGTCATTGTTGAAATTTTCAGATTCATCGTTTTCATAACTATTGAAATTATCAGATTCATCAATTTTAGAGTTTTGTTCTTCTATTTATGTTGTTTTTCTGGTAAATTGGTAGAATTGTGTATTATTTATCAGATTGGTATAATTATTCATTGTTAAAATGGTAAGATTCATTGTTTACCATAACTATGTAGTATTGTTTGTTTTTTTTTGTAAAGTAGTAGATCTTTGTATTATTCATCAGTTTAGGTATAATTATTCATTGTTGAAATTGTCAGATTCATCATTTACTATAATTATGTAGTATTGTTTTTTTTGGTAAATTATTAGATCTTTGCATTATTCATCAGTTTGGTATAATTATTCATTGTTGAAATTCCCAGATTCATCGTTTACCATCACTATGTAGTATTTTTTTTTTTTTTGGTAAATTACCAGATATTTGTATTATTCATCATTTTGGTATAATTATTCATTGTTGAAATTGCCGGATTCATCACATCTGACAAGTTATTCATGGAATTTGTAAATATATTGTAGCATGAGCGATGAATATCAGACACAATCTGAAAGAAGCATGAGCGAAGAACAGCATTCAGAAGCCAAAAAAAGCAGGATATTTGAATCTGCAAAAAATCAAACCACAATAAGTGTAGATATTGATATAGAGGGTTATTCATCATTTTGGTATAATTATTCATTGTTGAAATTGTCGTATTCATCAGTTTGGTATAATTATTCATTGTTGTATCGCACCTACCTCTTGAATTTTTTACTCCTTGTTTGCTACATACAAATTGTTTCCAATATACAACACCAGATTTGGACATTTTCCAATCTTTGAATTTGTTTATTGAAAAAATCAATGCGCTTTGTGTAAGAATTATAAGCAACAAAAGCGTCTTCCTCATAGTTGAAACATCGTCCAATTAGCAAAACTTCTGTTATTCATCAATAACAACTCGTTATTCATTATTTAACATAAGATATTCATCGTAAAATCCTAATAATATAATACACCATCGGTCAAAAAACAACAATGAACGTCATGTTCAACCATACATTACGCATTACCTTACGCAACGAGCGACAAGAAGAAACCTAGTTTTGAAAAAATAATCTCATAAAATAAAATAATATAAAAGCTAACATGATAAGTATTAAAAAAGATAACGTTTGAAATTAAATATGTGCTAAAAAAAAGGATAAAATTTGGAGGAATTAATTCACGTAATTAAAATTTGGAGGAAAAAAAATGGATGACATTTAATCACGTAATTAAACTAATGATTTGCATAATAAATGCGCGTTTGGACTCTTTTTTTTCGGACTCAATTATTCCAATTTCTCTTCCCCCGTGTGTAGTCCACACACTATCTAGGTACACCTTGCAAGGTGTACTTAGGATCTTAATATTATTTGCCATAATTGATGTCTTAAGAATAGTTACAGGAGGGATCAAAATACCGTCGATAGGTTAGATGTGTTTAATTTTGCTTAATGAGTTAGTTTAGCATAAGTCCGTAATCAATTGAACGAGTTAAAAAATAAATAAAGAAATAAATAAAAAGTGATGTCAGATGCACAACCTTTAAAGTTTAAGGTAACACTATTTTCCAACATATGGCAACCTCATCACATTATATTAGTGGTTCCTACTTCTTAAACGCGGTTAACTTTCTTATATTACTCTCTTTGTTCCAATAAATTATTATTCATTTTGCATTTTCAGTTTTTGTATAATTCGAATTAAAAATAAAATCTAATCTGGATAATAATTTCGAGACAGATAAAGTATTTATTAATTACTTGATTATGTCATTTTGATGGAATAGTAGGGAAAACTTATTTGAACTTAATGAAATTCTTGGTTAACCGAATTGTATTTGACCCGAATCAATACAAAAACATAGAAGCTTGTACTTATACATTCTCTCTGTTCTAAAATTATTGTCCAGTTTGAGATTTCACTCTTAA